AACCTGTTCTTAATGACATGCCTGTAAAAATAAATGTATAATAATCATATTCAGGTTTTCAACAGTTTATTTTTTTTCTCCCTGAAGCCGTAGGTCTCTCCCAGATGACAAATCCTAGACTTGCAGTCTGATTATCACGCTAACAGAGTGGCTCAGGCAGCATCACTTGGATTTGTCAACAGAAAGTTTAATCCTTAATCCCAGTGAGAACATGCTGTATGTGCTACACAAGCGTTTCCACAGCCACCCAAACACCATCCTCAATCCAAAGTTTGACAAATCTGACATAATTGAAGTTAACAGCTGACGGGTGTGTAATGATAATTATTATCAGGCCATATTAATGATCCCAGCAAAGTATTATTTCTTTCCCCATGACATTTTAATGTAAAGTTAATTAACTATAAATGTAAACAGATTTCAGAGATTCTGTGCTACCATGTCGGGTTAGAAACATTTTGTTTTTGAATTACCATTTTTGTTTTCTGTGTTCTGTAGTGTGCTGAGGGTTTTTTTTTTTACTTTCAGAACATTTCAGGGATGTTTCTACAGTCTATCAGCTGGTTTTCCTTAGATAGAAAACTTTGAATCAATCCGACTGTATGATCTGGTGTACTGGAAAATGCCTTGAGATGACGTGTGATGTGAATTGGAGCTTTAGAAATAAACTGAATAGAATTGAATTATTTTCTCCTTCATAATAAAAACAAATGGTGAGCAAAGAACAAAACAAGACATAGAACTAGATCCCTGCAACCATTGGTGTGAATGAGGCTGACCTGATAAGCTGTGTCAAACTGCATGGTTGTATGAAGAGCACCCCCTGCAGGCCAGACTATTGAACCTGACTCCATTCTAGACACACCAGCTCTATGCAAAGGACATTATTTACATATGCAGTGGTGACATGCATATTAAACTTTTTATTTCAATGTCTGCTCAGCTCTAATTCTATATTTCTTCTTGTGTACTTTAATAGGCAGCTGTCACCAGAGGATCTAGCCCAGGTTCCAGCTAACTCTACCTCCAACATTCTGAACCGTCTGATGGTCAGCTATGACCCAAGGATAAGGCCTAACTTTCAAGGTAATGCAAAACTGCAAAAGGATCCAAATTAGATTATTGGACTATTTTCTTTAAACTGAATCCTTGTAATAAAAAGACACAGGTTTACAGTTTTTATTAAAATGTCTGTTGATGCCTTTCAGTGGGTTACTCAGCCCCTTTGGTCTGCAGCCTTCCCACTGCTACTTCCATGTTTGTCTGCAAAGAATTCAAAAATATAGCAAGTTGACATGATCAAAAACTGCAGATAATAGGCAGTATATCTGTTTAAATAACCAGCCTCCCATTCCCTAAGTGTCCCCTATAAAACCACAGTCTGAAACTGGAAGCTCTCAGAGATGTTTAGGTCTGTCTTCAGGACATGTTTATTTTGGAATAAACCATTGGTCATCATCTTTTAGGCCTGCTAAACATTTCATTATATCCTGGTGTGTAAATACGCAAGGGTGGGTTTTTGTTAGCCTGACGTAGTCCTACTCAATTCTAGTCAGAATGAGTCTGATACTGCTCCATAGAGCTGTGAT